CACTCACAGAACGAGGCTGCGTCCCCTGGCTTCTACAGTGCTGCTAAACAAGAGCAGAATGGAGGCAGAAAGTACCTACAGTATATACCTGCTCTGGCTGTAAGTGCAGACACAGCAAAACAGCCCGACCAAAAAAAATGTCACAGAAGAAATCAAGCCCGGGTGAACATACTGTAGCTAGCTTACATCGTATCTTCTAGGGAGACTTAGGGCGGCACGGTGGCTGAGTGGATAGCACTCTCGCTTCTCAGCAATATGGTACTCTGTTTGAATCCCGGTCGAAACAGGGCGTTTCTGAGTGGAGTTTGCATGTTCTCCCCGTGTCTGCGTAGGTTTCCTCCGGGCGCTCCGGTTTCCCCTACCACTAAAAACATGCACAATAGGTATGAATGTAAATGAGAGAGTGAATGGATGGTGTTGATTGGGGGATGATGCGCCATTGTGTTCGGCGACTCGCTTCTGTCATCCCCGTGTGTGGAATGATTGGAACAATATCTGAACTCTGAACATTGTACAGCGCTTTGGATAACCTTTATCTGTAAAATGCGCTATATAAATAAATAAACATTACATTACTTAGGGTCTATGGGAGAGACCTGCAGGAGCGGTACTGCCTCCGTCTACATTCGGACGCGAAACTAACGATAATTTTTCAGTTATATATTTTGTTAGCAGTGCGTTGCTTTTGTACCATTCCATCAGTTATTGTTGTACAGCTTACGAGAAGTTGCGCTAATGCTAATGTTAGCATATGTATCAGTTTGCAAATAAAACTAGAAGGCTCCGTGGGATGAGAGCGTAAAGGAAATGAGAAGCCTGTGAGCGAGTTGGGGTCGCTGTGCTAAACATTCAAACCTTGCAGTAACAGGTTTAGCTCCTGACCAGTAAAGTGTCAGGGAGAGAACTCAGGCTCAGCCCAGAGACCTGTACTGTAAGCAGGTTTTCCAATTCTATTATTGGTTCTTTGTAGGGGGCGCAGTTTAAACTTTTACCCTCAAGACAACGGTATAGGGCTCTTGGGCGCAGAACAAAAAGGTTTGGAACTACAGTCATCCACTCATCTTAACAAGACATTGCACTTTATACAAACTGTTGCACTTTACAGCATATCTGCACTGAAACTAGCTTTGTGACGGCCTCTCTTGTTCTTGTTATCTTCCATGTTGTAATTGTTCTGTGTCATCCTGTTTTTAGATGACTGTTTGCAGCAAATCCATTTCCCCTATACTGGGACAACTTTCTAGTTTTCAGTGGGTCTGTAATATCGTTCAACTCTCAATCTTACGAATCAAAGACAATCACCAGAAATGTTCTCCGCACAGACTTTAAAATGTTCAGCAATCTGCACAAAAAGTGAAGTCTGTAGTTCTGCACAAGAGTTTTCTGCACTTGCACCAAAGATTGAACATTGGTTTTCTTCTTCAAAAAAAAAGTTAGACCATTACTTCTCTGTGTTCCAAATGTGTGCAGCTTACGGGTGCCATTTATATTTCTGCATGTGTATAATCAGTATTACAGCTAAGAGGTTATTTTGACAGCTTGGGCACAATTAGCGAAATGTCAGCCGTGCTCCTTATTAAAGATCCACCGGAGCGTCAGACATCGAGAGAACTTCACTGATTCGGTCTCAGTCTCTTGACCTCAGCGCTCCATGGCCATAAAAACAAAACCAGCTGCCATAGAAATCACCTCTTCCACATGCAACCCCTGAAATAGAAAAAAATAGGAGATTGCATGTGGGATCAGAGAAGAGGAGTTTGAAGGGAAATGTTCATGAGAAACTTTTAATTGCCACATCAATCTCAAAAAAGCGAGAAATTTCAAAAAGAATGAGCCAATTGTTTAGAAATAATGTCAAAACCGAGAGGGAAGAAGTATAGCAGTGACTTAATTGCACAAACGCTGCAAAATTTTAGCTAATATATTGTTTTTGTTTAATTTATTGTCTAAAACCGTCAAACCCACTGCACCATGCATACAGCCTTTCTGGTGGGAGAGTTGATTTTCCGCAGTAATGTTATTGATTGGACCAGAATGCACTGCAGCAGCTTTGTGTAATTCTAGAAGGTTTCTCACTTTTTCCCACTGGGTTTTTTAAGAGTTTTTCCTTGTCGATGCAGGAGGGTCTTGTTGGACAGTTAGTGTCCAACAGAAAGGATTGGTGATGATCAGGACACTTTAGCATTCTACAACATGTATGGACATTTTCTTCTGTGTGTGCTTTATATTCTTCATGTGTTTTAACTGTTGATTCTCTGACCTGTGTTGGTGATTTCAATGGTTTTGTTAAGTCCTCTGAGATGACTTCTGTTGTGACCTAGGGCTATACAAGAATAAATTGTATTGTATTGTATTGTATTGTAGACCAAGTTTGTGCCTTTTTTATAGAACATTCTTGGCCTGGTTTGGTGCTCTTGCTATTCTCTAAAGGTCAATTATTTTCTCAGGTGAGGGAAATGTTTCTTGCCATGTTCATTAATTTCATCTTTAATAAAGGCAAGGAGAGTTCGTTTGTTTGAGCACAATTTATACACAAGGCAACTCAAACAAGATAGAAGCAATCACACAAGGCATTAAAACATCCATCCATCCATCCATTTTCTTCCCCTTAATCCATTTCTGGGTCGGGGGGGTGGCAGTCAGAGCTGCACCCAGTCACAAAGCACCAGCCCCTCACTGATCCTCCTGCAGGTGGTGAGTCCACAGGAGCTGAGATCTTTCAGTGGGGGCTTCAGGCAAAGTGGGGTTAAGTGTCTTGCCTAAGGACACAACGACAGCAGTCATCAGTGGGAGTCGTGAAGTAGGTCTTACGGTGGGCTTGAACCCACGACCTTCAGGCTCAAAGGCGAATGCTCTACCAACTGAGCTACTGTCGCCCCTAACATTAAAACATTTACATATAAAGGAAGATACACATAAAGGCCCTCAGAACTATTTTTAACTTGGCTTTAGATATTGTCAGAGAAGAGGCCTGTCCCGCATTCTCAGAAATATTGTTAAATATTTTAGCAGTATGAATCTGAAATGCAGCCTCCCCATGTTTACTTCTGACTCTGGGCACCAGCAGAAGACCAGTCCCTGTGCTCCTCAGAGTCCGAGTTGGTTCATATGGGACTAACATGTCACTTGTTTACTTTTGTGCGACATAGTTTGAATGGTGATGCTGTATGATTGCAGTCTTGTGTCTTCCAAGATCAACTCTTTAAGGACAATAACAAAATGATAACACTTAAACAATCGTCATCAGACATAAGGAAGTGAAAACATAGCAGTTGGACAGTAGTGGTCACACACTGCTTCCCCAATGCAGCTATTGTAACGTCTGCCTTGTTATGGCCACTTTCTTCCTATGTTTTACAGCGTATGATAACAAAACAGAATGTATTTGTCAACTAAAAATGAGACATAACCGAGTTTAAAAAGTCTGATTACCAATAGTTCATCACTATAGCCGCCATAGGTCACAATGGTCTTTATCTTGACAGCTTGGGAACGATTTTTGAAATGTCTCTATACGATAAATCAAATATTTGGTCTGGTTTGTGAATGGTTGGTGGTGGTCGGAGGGACTGATGGCACAGACTGTCACTGTCAATCCTTCACAGGGCAGCTATGGCTACAGTAGAAGTCATCATAGTGCATGAGGTGACTGAATAATATAAATAAGAGGGTACATTTATTTGTTGTTGTTTTTTGTAACTTATTGTCTGTCCGGTCTCCTCAGCTTTGGACCGACCAGCCCGAGGAGATAAGGCTCGCAACATCAGTATCTTCTTTTAAATCACTTCTTAAAACGCACTTTTATCAAACATCTTTTAACTGCTTTTTTTAATTTCATTTCTTGTATTTTACTGTTGCTCTTTGCCTTTGTTTTGTCTTTCTTGTTGCTTTATTCTGCTGTATTTATTGTTAAAAACTAGTCACATTTCAACAACATAATCTCTTTAATGAATGTTGTCAATGCTGGTTCAAACTACAGTTGTCTCGACATGAGCACACACAGACAATTTACAGACAAAAAATATAGTCCGGGTCATCGCTAGATAGAAAAGCAGAGTGACAAAAGAACGAAGGAGTTGCAGGTCCTTTATAATAGTAGAGCGTCGTGGATTGGTCAAATCACAAGTAGAAGAGCCTTCCCCAAAAGTAAACATGAGGCCTAACCAAAAGCAGATGTCTTCGGCTTCTTGCTTATTTAAACGTCTTGTGTTTTACTCATGACTGGGGGATGGGCAGAATGCTGCCACTCCATCACATCCCTATACACATGAGGTTAGCTATCATCATGTCTAGACTTACATTTATTAATATGCTAATAACACATACGATTTCTTTTTGATCCGACTGTTTTTTTTTTTTGGACCGTTTTTTGTGTTATATGTTGCGCTTTGTAAACACTGTATTTTAAAAGGGCTATGAAATAAAGATGTATTATTCATTAGTATAAACTATAGACGTAATTTGACCCAAAAAAAATTGTATGAAAGATGGTGGTTAAGTTTTTGGAAATGGATTGAATAATGCCATGTGACGTGTCTCCGGATGTCATGAAAAGTATCATTTGAATCTAAAGTGGTAGGGCGTTATTGACCAGCACATGCCATGGACAGACTTTTTATTCCCTTCTTTCTTTCTCTCCCAATATGCTCTTAAACCAATACACGCTCACTCAAATATCACTAGTTTCTACTACCCAGGCAGGCGCTTGGCTCAAACTACAAACGTTGTATTGATGGGCAGAATTCAACCACTGAACCACTGCTTTCCCAAAATCAATAAGTTATCTTTCATTTACTGCATCCTGGCACTCTTTCTTACTTTAGCTTTGATTATGAGCTACGCACTGCTGTCGTGACCGTCTATTCTACTTGAGAAATGTAAAAACTGTACCATAGGAAATGCACCAAATAAATTGAAAATCCAGAAAAAAAAACAAGCGCAACAGGCAAGGAATCTATTCGGATGTGTAAAGAAATGCTGCTGCAAAATTGAAATCATCAATGACCGTCAGTGCGAGAGAAGAGGTGGAGTGGTTATCAGAGCCTTATCCACACATCTGCAGGCAGCACACCAGACACTGGAAGCACTCCCAGAGCTGCCTGTAAGTGAGAAAGTCTGAAGCAAGCTGCAAAACAAGCCACTAATCCATTATCACCACCACTTTCTCACCAAATAGACTCCCCCTCGAAGTCCAAATCCAATCAAATCACATGGAAGAACATTTTAGCATAATTTCTGGTACTGTAGGGAAATAATTCAAACTAATAGAACGTCTACTATTTTGCCAATGCATTCAGAACAAGCAAATGTTCAGGATATATAAAGAATCCTGTCTTATGTGAAATAGAACACAAACTGAAAGCAATTCAATAAATATCAGACAATTCCTATAAACCATCAGAACAAGACTTATTATTATGTTTTTGAATAGATAACATCTAATATAGCTGTATGCAAATGATTTCTATCCTGCACACATGTTGATTTTCTCTCTGTGTCTTAAACCACACTGTGAGATATTGAAAGGTCTACTTGTATTCAATATTGTTGAATAATAGTATTGAGTGAGTGCTTGATCAGCTTTTGTGAATATTAATGGCCATACAATACATAATTTCAAAGCTCAAAACAGCACAAATTCAAATGCAAAATCAGTTAACTCCAGATATTAGCTTTAAATCAATACAGAAGTCTTTGTCTAGGTTTGTTTTTATTGCTTTATTCAGCAGAACACAAGACATTTTTGAGCAGGTGTTAATCACTCAATGAACACAAGTAAATGTATATTAAAGATCCTTTGTGGCTTAATACTTTAAAACACTGAATATTTATACAGAAGCAAAGTACTAGTCTGTAAATATGTGGGAAAATATTCGTTTTATTTTAAATGATTCAAGAGAAGATTCTTCCACTTTTTAGACATCTTCCATATCAGTGGTTCGGTTCCAGACCCTTCAGCCTTCCAAACATAAGTGTCACAGAGAAAAGATTTCCTCAAACTATAACTCCTTTCTGAAACTTGACTGTGATGTCACACAAAACACCTCAGTGATATCAAAGTGTCCAATACTGAGGCTTGATAGGATGAAGTAATGCAGATGTTGTAAAAGGTGCCATGAAGAGCCAAACATGTATCAAACATGAAGTGTGGGCAAGCACCGGGTGTTAGTCCTGCATCTGCTCCTCCACTTTGATGTTTTATGTATTGTCCCTGGAGTCTGAACATATCATTCCAGCAGACACCAGCAGACACCAGCAGACACCAGCACATGCAACGGAGCAAGATGTCCTGTCACTCTCAATATGGCTCTGTTTACTCAATCTCATCTGCGCTTTCTCCTAAACGGAACAAATTGAGACAGGTCTTAGTAACTTAGCAACTGCAAGTATATTATTATTTTTATTTTTTATTTATTTCAATTGTGGACTTAACAATACATCACATATTGCAATTACATTTCAAACAATGAAAAGGAGTAAAGGAGAAAATAAATCTTATGTTGCCTGCCCCTTCCTTCAAACAACACAATAAAAAATAAGATGGCCTTCAGCACTTCTTCAAACTGTTTTTATTTCATGTTTTTTTAATGGTTTTCAAAAATCTTTGTTTTTTATTATATAATTATTTTCTCTTTTTTTTCTAATCATTCATTTCATACAATTTCACTGTTGTTGCTTTGATTTTTTCTCAAACATGTGGATGTTTGTGGAATTTTTTATTTCATAGTCGAGTTGATTCCATAATTTTACCCTGACCAACGATATTGTGTTTGTGTTTCTGGGTGGTTCTGGCAAAAGGGACAGAGAAGTGTATCTTCCTTCTACTGTCCTGGTTGGAATTGAGAGAGCTAATTATCACCTGAACTTAGATAATAAAACAACGTGGGGTGATTTCAGCAAGTGGATCCGTCTGTTCTTTTGAAAGACTGTAATTGAAAACATAATAGACCCGTGCACAAAAAGCTAACTTTCGGGTTTGAGACCGGATGTAGGTTTGCATATTTCCAGTTTTTTTGCTGCTGAGGATGGACAAAAAAAACTAGGAATTCTAATAGAAACGATGGCTTTGCTTTTCAAAAAGCACACGGTAGTAATAAACAACACTGTAGCTCGCCCTTGTGCACTGCTTCAGGCAGATTTAACAAACTGCTAAGTTTCCACAGATTCCCGAAAGACCCGGATTTGCGTGCTCAATGGCTGGTGAAAATCAGAAGGGAAGGCTTCACCGTTCAGACGAACTCAAGAGTGTGTAGTCGACATTTTGAGACTGGAGAAATCTTCGTTGCTAAGTCAAGGAAACGGTGCCTTCAGCCAAAGTCAGTTCCATGTTAATTATCTGAAAAAGACCCCGCGTCCCGGAGTTTGGGAGCGCCGTCCACGTGTTTCCCAGACCGCGGTCACAGCTGCAGAGGATGATGACAACTCCAATGTGGACATAGTGACGGAGGATGAGCCCTCCTCTAGTTGTATTGAGCTGGCTCCAGACTCTACCCCCATCATTGAGGACCACGACTATGCTGTTAGTTCATTCATTGTGGTGGACCATATGAGATATGAAAACGTGTCGAGGGAGATTGAGGAGCTCAGGCAGCAGCTAGAGTCGCATCATTTGACTCATACATTTGGACTGCAGCCGTTTGCCTCATCACCTGAAGACATTCGGTACTACACAAGGTAAGAAAGATTATGTGCATGTGTGTTAAGAATGTGTATAATGTATTCTCCGATTAAATGTGTGGATCGATTGATATTTGTGTTATTGAGCGTGGCTAGCTCCGTTAGCTTCTCTGCAGAGACAGTAATGACGTAGCTCGTTATGAGAAAGTGTACGAACTACTGTCTGAGTAATCTTAGTATTCTACACTCCTGAATTCCAAGCAGAGATTGTGTTGCCAAAGGGCAGCGGCCATCATTGGTTTGCGAGGTCCGTGAAATAATGATTGGTAGAACGTTATTTAAATTACATTCAAATCAATGGAACGTTATAATGCTGCTGTGAGAAACCATATAATAAATTATGATTAAATATTTGAATATATTTGAACATATTAATAGACAAACGCGAACTTCGAATATGATTTTTATGCCAAAGTCAAAGCCTCATAGGTCACTACATCATAACAACAAGGTGCAAAAATGTATTTTACTTGTCATTGTCATTACTTTATTCGAGTGGACTCCCTAATCGCATCCGCCTCTAACTCCAAGCCTCTCTTCATAGGGCCTGTCTGGTGAGTACCTTTTAAGATGCGTTCGGCCAGCAGCTCTTCAGAGGCCTTGCCCACATAACATATCTCTCTGAAGTGGGATGCAGTCACCCGTGGCCTTCGTACATTATGCCAGTCTATATTACAACTCTGCTCACGTGTAGAACAATTTTATACGTGACTCAATTTTAGACTAAATTTTATGGGACATCTCTAGGGTAACCTCCAGACTTCTCATATGCAGCTGTTGTTTCCTGGAACAGACAAATGTGCACTCGGATGGTTTCAATTTGTAAGTCTTCCAGTGGTAATGGTGGAGAAGGTGGAGCATGATGGAGAGTCTGCGCTCTCTCTTTGGCTGGGTGGACTTCGTTTCCCAGCGACAGTAGCTCAGTTGGTAGAGCATTGGCCTTAAGGCCAGAAGGTTGTGGGTTCAATTCCCACCTCTGCACCTTCTCCACCGTCTCCCACTGTTGACTGCTGTCGTTGTGTCCTTGGGCAAGACACTTAACCCCACTTTGCCCAAAGCCCCCACTGAAAGATCAAGGCTATGCTCACACTCAGAGAGCAGCCGTCCTCCTGTGGACTCACCACCTGCAGAGGGTCAGTGAGGGGCTGGTGCTATGAGACTTGGGTGGCATCTCTGACTGCCACCCCCCTGACCCAGAAATGGATTAAAGGGTAGAAAATGGATGGATGGATGGATGGACTTCGTTTCTGCACAGTGACTCCACAAGTAGGACGTCGTCGGTTATTCCCATGCTGGAGATCATAGGTCGGTCAGCTTCAGGGAAAGTATGGTAAACTTCAAATACCCGAAGAACCGAAAGGTCAGGAAGTTCCCCATGAATGCCTCTGTATAATTTGCCCCTGGTTCTTGATGACAAAAAAGAAAAAAACACAATTTAAATTTGTGTAACATTTTTTTTTTTTTTTATCTACTGATACATCAAGCACTGTGGTCTTTCTTGTTTTGGGTTTGGCTGAGAGCACAGCCATCTTCAGGCCCAAGCTTAAACCCCTATTACAGTAGAAAATGTAAATGATACATAAAACATGATTTTTTATGTGGATATTATCATGTACATAGAGATAGATAGATTGATAGATACATTTGTATTTATTATAGTGTCTTGCATACAAAGATGCCCAGCCCACATGGGCTTATAAGACACCATTTATGCAAATACAGAGACACAGGCCAACAACCGGCACATAGACTTAGAGAGATAGCTTTACTTAAAAATGAAGACACTTTAAACACTTGATATTCAAATAAAAATGTCATCTTGTCATAATCACAGCCCCAAAACAAATCAGGATCCCGGGAGAACGTTTCATAAAACAACACATTTCTAAATTCATCATAAAAAGGACAATATAACAAAAAATGCACTTCACTTTCCACTTCATCGAGTTCACAAAATAAACACAGTCTCTTCTCCTCAGGGGTTTGTGAAAACCTCCCTGTTTCTAGCGCTAATGGAAGAATTCCCGTACGAAACTGAGCCATCACAGATCTCTGATTCCGGGGCAAATTTGCTGTGACGTAAAGCTCTGTTTTGAAATTTTCTTTTAACTGAATATATGTTCTTGATTTTGGTTTTGTCAAAATTCCAATTTGCCACTGTTTTTCAAAATTGGCCACTAGTTTTGCTCTAACGCTACTGACGCTGCCTGGCAGATTGTTATGAAAAACGTATTGGAGTTGCACTTCAGCAAACACAGATCGAAGCTCTGCGGCCCAGGGCGACATGGCTTTGCTCCATTTAAGGACCTTTTTTGTTAATCTGTTGTCTTGCATATAAATGATTCGATTCCACAATCTGACCATGTCACATTTTCTTTGGACCGTGCCAGGAACCCAGCCCATATCCCCCTGCGCAGCCAGAACAGGACGAAACTTGTGGACCCCCAAAAAGAAGCGGATTGCTCTGTTTTCTACAGCATCTAAGGCTGAATACTGTCTGGCTCCCCAAACACCAGCAGCAAAGTTTAGAACAGGAGAAACACAGGCCTCATACAACTTAGAGTATGTTCTAAAACCAAGATCTTTACATACTTTATATTTGTTTATCGCAGAGCCTAAAGCACGGCTGGCAGAGTCCGCAATAACTTTGACTCCACAATCAAAACTCATGAACTCACTCACTAAATGTGAAACCCAGATATTTGTACTCGGGGACAAATTCCAATGCTATGTTACCGAGCTTGAGAACATTTTTGCTTAATGGGATTGACTTCCTCCTAAAATGAACCATCTGAATTTTAGTTTGATTTATGGAAAGTTTCAACTTATAACACCAGTCTCGTAACACGTTTAACATGGTCTGCAAGTCCTCTTCTGATTCAGCCATGAGTGCAACATCGTCAGCATAAAGCAAAATGGCTGCTGTGTCAGAGTCCATATGAATACCCATGTTCGATTGTTTTATTTCCAGAGCCAAGTCGTTGATAAAAAGTGAAAACAGGTTTGGAGACAGACTGTCCCCTTGTTTTACACCAGAGGGTATCGGGAACCAGTCAGTCTGGAGCTCATTTAATTGAACGCATCCGATACAGTTTGTATACAATGATTTTAGTGCTTTATAAAATCTCCCATCAACCCCAGCCTGAAGAAGTTTCAAATACAGTAGATCTCTATTTACCCAATCAAAAGCTTTTTTAAAGTCTACAAAACATAGAAATGTGGATTTGTTTTCAGCCAATCGGGTTCTGACAATAGTTGAAACAACAAAAATGTGGTCAATACATGCTCTGTGTTTTCTAAATCCATTTTGTTCATCCACTAACAACTCGGTATCTTCAAAAAAATCAGTCAGTCTAGTATTTAACAAACTGGAATACATTTTATAGACTGTACTTAACAAACTTATCCCTCGATAATGGCACTCTAGGATCATCTTTAGATGCTTTTGGTATGGGTTTGATTATGGATTTATACCACACTGAGGGAATAAGGCTGTTGTCGAAACAGAATTTGAACAAACAGAAGAGAATATTTAGGAGATGTGGAGATTTTAACACTGTTGTTCACCTTCAGTGCAGCTTAACATCGGGGGGACAACTTGGAGTTTTCATTTCATTTCATTTCATTTCAATTGAGAGTAATGTGCAGATTGAAACAGAAGGGCAACACAATGATTGCATAAAGCTTTTCCAGCCTTACATGTGCATGCAAAGTGCAGCAGTTGCACAGGCTGCGAATCTGTTAGGACCACCTATAAAGTACAAGATTTGTATTTAATGTTATGTAATCAAATAATATGCCTAGAAAGTATTTTACATTTGAAAAAATACATAATGATTATCCAACAAAACGCCTACAACCTGTAACATTACAGTTCATTATACAAAACCATTTCATACTGCTTCTTTCTATAATCATACTCTGAGTTTGTGAGCTTTATCGGATTTCCTCATCGACCTGAAGCACTCTGCCCTGACCACCACCTCTCCTGAGCCATCTTTATCAGACACTGCCGAAAACAAGAATTGTAGTATGGTTAGCATTAGAATAACATGTTAGCATTCTTTAGTATAGGAACTGTAACAGAAATAAAATGTATAAGGATTTATATAATATGCAAATATATGTTATATAAATCCTTGAAGGAGAGAATGTACAATGTAGCTTTGCTTACAGACTCAAGGTTCAATGCTTAACAAACAGACACACAAATACATTGTATTATTGCTTAGCCTTTACATTAATAGTTAGACCTGCATGTTCATTACATTATAAATATGTTCAGATTTCGGCCTATATGAAAATGTAGCACAGCTGGCAAAATACAACAGCATTCCGATGGGTTTGTTGTTAGCATCTATGCAAATTTTGCAAATAATGCTACATTAACAATCTTGAGGGGCAGTTCTGCTAGTGATGTTGTTTCCTAATGGTGCTTTTGGTGTTAATAGCATGTAGTAGAGAGGTTCTTAGTTGACAAAATAGTCCTCGTTCATGATAGTTTATTATGTTTGAGTAGTTGCTGAAAATGCACCTGCTAACATAGTATATCTGCTCAGATAACACCCTTTTCTTTAGTATAGTTACATGATATTGCTTCTTAAAGTTAGAAGCAATATCAAAATTATGCAAGTACTGGGAGATATAAAATTTAAATCCTTTTTCGCGTTTACTCTGAGGAGCTGGAGAAGAAGATTCTACAATACAATGGACATCATTGATGGATTTGTCTGGTAAATTCCCAAGTGATCTAGAAAAATGTTAATCTGCGGTTGCTTGAGCCATTTTAAACACCAACCCAGACCTTGAAGTGAGACTCCCACCAAGTTTAAACATAGCGCCAATGTCACCGGAAATGGAGAACCGAACAGAAGTTTTCCTTATGCTAACATGCACGTAGTCTATTCTAATTGTGATGTGAAATGTACATGTATTATATATAGTTCTTCTTCCATATTTACACCCAAGACGAGGTGCTGAGCTTCATATTCCATAAAACAC